TTATCACCCTAGACAAAAGCATAGAGCTGGATAATTTTATCTACATTTTCAATGAGTACATTTCATAATTATTGGCATTTGCATGGCTGTGAAAAAGTACTTTCTTCCCTCTTGATTCCTCAGTTGTTTTATTTCTTGTTACTGGTTAAAAAAAAAGGCATTTCTCTTTACGGGCCAGCAGTGTGAGATGTAAGAGCGGAGCTGTGTTGTCATGTTGGCAGAAGGATAAATATCTACAGCAGCTGTGTTGTTTAGCGTCCCACAAGTGGTTTTACAGAAAGATGGATTTAATTTCACCATTATTCTCCCCAGTGACTGCACTGCTCTAAATATTTCAGTGTTAGATCATGCCACTGTGATAATCTTCTTATCTTTACACAGATTAAAGTGTGGCAAACACTTCAAGTCTGGTTTCATAAGCCTCCTCTGTTTCTGTCTTTATTGAGAAAATCTGGTGACTGATTAGTTCATGCTTTAAAATAAAATCTGTTTAATGATATGATCTTGCAGATCTGTAGCTGTTTCTGTGGAATAATGCACACAAACAGCAATTTCATGGAAACTAAACACCAAGCCTTTTTAATGCTACACATGAAAAAAGTAAATCCTGTCGATTTTTTAAAAATATCTTAATTTTTCTAAAAGTTATTTGACATGTTTTTTGTTTTGTTTTTAACTGGAACATGATTATTTACAGATCGGTCAAGTAACAGAGTACAAATACTTCATTGCCTGACATCAGTAGAAATGTTGGCTATCTCTACTTAACTGGAGTCATTATTTCTAGACAGTTTTTTTTTACTTCTACTCCTTATGTTTAAAATAGACTTGTTTTGTTTAATTTCAGCCGGAGATTTCAAATACATTAAATGTTAGCCTCCCCTCTATTGGGCGCCGTTTGTAAAGTTAAGTGGTCAAAATCAGGAGCAATATTTATGGTAATTTAACACTTTTTAAGAGAAAAATAAGGAATTTATTATTTTCCAAGTCATTTTTTGCACTATGTCATTTATTTATTCATTTGTTAAAATCTTACATTGTAAAATAAATATTTAGTTTTAGGCTAAATATTTAGTTTGCAAATTAAATATTTTGTTTACTATATAAACATTTAGCTCTAAACTAAATATTTAGTTTGCAAATTAAATATTTAGTTCGTTAGCTAAATGTTTAGCTCTATGTTAAATATTTAGTTTGAAAATTAAATATTTAGTTTGTTAGCTAAATGTTTAGCTCTATGTTAAATATTTAGTTTGAAAATTAAATATTTAGTTTGTTAGCTAAATGTTT